TGGAATGAAAACTGACCTTTTCCAGTCCTGTGGCCACTGCTGAGTTTTCCAAATTTGCTGGCATATTGAGTGCAGCACTTTCACAGCATCATCTTTTAGGATTTGAAATAGCTCAACTGGAATTCCATCACCTCCACTAGCTTTGTTCGTAGTGATACTTCCTAAGGCCCACTTGACTTCACATTCCAGGATGTCTGGCTGTAGGTGACTGATCTACAGGAAAGCTAAGACCCAAAGAAGCAGTTAGAGCTGAATGCTTATATACTCAGCATTGTGTTGTACAAAGATTAATAAATTGTTGAAACTGACAAGACAAAAGGGCTTGGACCAGAGCAGTTAACAGTGGAGAAGTGAATAGGAAGATAAGGGTTAAGAAGATATGTTTACATAAATTTCCCTCATTCTTTTTTTTTTCCCCTCATTCTTGATTACTGTCTCTGATGATGAGAATATTTCTTTCCTCCTGGTATAGGCAAGATATCTTTCACATCATTCAAGATCACTGTCAGGGGGCACTTTGACACATGTTTCATTCCTCATCATTTTTCAGACTCCAGGAGATTCAGAAAAAAATGCTTGGAAACAGGGAACAGTATCATTATTGCAAAACATAGGAAGAAACAGAATTTTCCTTTTCTTCATGATTAAAAAATTCAGATTCTATATTCTATTTCTAGGAAGATGAGCCAAGGGAGGGGCTGTGGTGGATGCTTACATTTGGTAGAAAAATGAAGTTTCAGATTGGAGTAACAGAATATGGTATACACAGTTAGAAAAGGAAGGATCTGGGTTTTAAGCATACCTGACCAGGTGGATGGGGTGACACATTGATGGAGGGAGCACAGAGAGGAAGAAGAGAACATACGATTGCAAGAGACAGAAATATACTGTTTTTATCCACCTCCAACCAGTTTAAGATGAAGAAAGGAGAGTTAGGGCAACTTAGCAGCTCATAAAAACTGAAAGACTAGGAATGGATTGGTTTAGGGCAAGCCATGCCCAGGAGTTCCAACGATGTCAGGGCTTCCCTTTTCTCAGTTTCTCTGCTTCTTTCTGATTGTGGTATTCATTCTCTCCTATTGCTCGTGTCTTTCTCCTCATGTGGAGAAGGCAATGGCACCCACTCCAGTACTCTTGCCTGGAAAATCCCATGGACGGAGGAGCCTGGTAGGCTGCAGTCCATGGAGTCGCTAGGAGTCGGACATGACTGAGCGACTTCACTTTCATGCATTGGAGAAGGAAATGGCAACCCACTCCAGTGTTCTCGCCTGGAGAATCCCAGGGACGGAGGGGCCTCGTGGGCTGCCATCTATGGGGTTGCACAGAGTTGGACACAACTGAAACGACTTAGCAGCAGCAGCAGCAGTTCTCATAACTAAGGAAGATAATTTACATTGTCCTTTAAGGTCAAAATTCCAGAGAAATAGATTAAAAAAAAATCTCCTAGTATAACTTCATAGAAATTTCCAGAATAGATGCTGATTTGCTGACTTGTGTCACAGGCCCACTAGATCTGTCCAACTCTAGAGTGCCTACTCTTCACCACCACTGAATACTATCTTAGCACTTAAAAAAATATATATATATGTGTATGTGTGTGTGTGTGTGTGTGTGTGTGTATTAGTCTGCCTTCTTATTAGAGTCTAAGCTCCTCAAGGACAAAGAATCATTTATTTTTTACCTGGAGCATCTATTGCTGTGCCTGGCATATGGTACTGGATGCACTAAAAAAAAATGTGTGTAAGAGTGAACTGAAATAGATAAATCTAAACTCTAATGGATGATGTGTAAACGAAGTATATTCAGTATCTTGTAAGCGCAACTAAATAGTATGATAAGAAAACACAAGGTAGATGAATGAAAGGGTGGAAAAAAATCATGGAGCACTTACACATGGTTTCTGTAAAAGTAAATCACACCCAACTAGTCTACTAGAGTTCTTCAAATATGCAGATAGACAAAAGGACAAGGTGAAACCAGCAGAACTTATTTGGCTTTTCAAAAAGTCTTTTGATAGATTTCCACATCAAAAGCTTTTAGAAAATCGGTGCCACCGTCAGATTTTAGAAAGCTGTTGATGTTGTTCAGTGGCTCAGTCGTGTCCAACTCTTTGCCATCCCGTGGACTGCAGCATACCAGGCTTCCTTGTCCTTCACCATCTCCCGGAGTTTTGCTCAAACTCATTTCCACTGAGTTGATGATGCCATCTAACCATCTCATCCTCTGTCGTCCCCTTCTCCCCTGTCTTCAATCTTTCCCAGCATCAGGATCTTTTCTAATGAGTTGGCTCTTTTCTAATGAGTTGCCAAAGTTTTGGAGCTTCAGTTTCAGCATCAGTCCTTCCAATGAATATTCAGGGTTGATTTTCTATAGGATTGACTGGATTGATCTCCTTGCAGTCCAAAGGACTCTCAGGAGTCTTCTCCAGCACCACAGTTCAAAAGCAAAACTTCTTCAGCGCTGAGCCTTCTTTACGGTCCAACTCTCACATCCATACATGACTACTGGAAAAACCATAGCTCTGACTATACAGACCTTTGTTGGCAAAGTAATATCTCTGCTATTGTTGGCATTGTTTTAATTTTGTTTGTTAAATTGTGTCTAGAAAGCACAATCAAAGTCAAGCAAAGAAGGTTTGGGATAAATGAGAAACTGTAAATATGCTCATGCTAAGGTGCTTCAGTGATATCCAACTCTGTGCAACCCTATGGACTGCAGTCTGCCAGGCTCCTCTGTTCATGGAATTCTCCAGGCAAGTATATTAGAGTGGGTTGCCATGCCCTCCTCCAGGGGATCTTTCACACCCAGGGATTGAACTCTTACATCTCCTGCACTGGCAGGTGGATTCTTTACCACTAATGCTACCTGGGAAGCCCGAAAGTGTAATAGTGGGGACCAATCTTATGTAATGTTTTATAAATTATCAAAACGCGGTTAGGACAATGAAATTTTTAGTTTGCATATAATAGGTCTTTCAGTTAGTGCAATATTTAGCTAAAGACAAAGGCAAAATAATAGAAAATAGTGGTAGGTGTCTTGAACTTAGAGAAGATTCATTTATGCATTTACAGGAAGTATAACAGCTCAGGGGAACAGGATGTGGGCACCCAGGGCCAAACCTTTGCTCCAACTAGATGGGTCTATTTCCCTTGTATTTGCTTACTTTTCCATGTACTTATCTCCTGTCACCACACACACACACACACACACACACACACCCCAAACACACACGTACACACACACACACACACACCCAAACACACACGTACACACACACACACACCCCAAACACACACGTACACACACACACGCTCAGTTGAAGAAACCCCTACCAGTTAGAAGCGATATTTTTTTCCTGACAATGGAATGCTACAATCTCTAAACCTTTTGAGGACTGGGGTTGAGGAGAGATGCATGGAGAAAAAGGTTGGGAGGAGGGGAAAATTAAATAATACCAATCGGAAAGAAATATCTTTGTAAGGAAGTAAGGAGGTGATGAATGAGCACAAGAAAGATACATCTAATCTCAACAAAAGTCCAGAGAAAAGCAATGATCACATTCATAAAGCCCCTCCCTTGTAAAAAAAAAAAAATTTTTTTTAAAGAAAGAAACCTAAATCTCCCAACCAAGGACCAAGAAATGGTTAAAAACACACCACAAAATTTGAAAGTGTTCTTAGTCTTTTAAGCTTAGAGATGGTTTGAGAACAAGAAGACTTAGAGGCATGACAGAAAACTTGTTTCTCAAAGGATTGACAAAGCAAGTACTTTCAAGAGGGGTTTCAATAAATTCCCAGAGGACAAATGCACGGTGTATTGAAAAGCCTGGCGGAGAACTGTGAGGGGTCATTTGTCTAATGACCAGGGTGAGAATGTCTGGGTTCTAGTCTTGGCTTGTCCACTTACTAATGCAGCATGTACGCCCGGGGGACAAACGACTTAGTATTTTCGAGTCTATTTCCTTAGTCGTAAAAGGATACTTGTCCTTTTTCTTGTAAAAGTAAGCTTGTAAAGGATACTTGTAATACTAGTCCCCACTACCTCAAAGGGTGGGGCTTTGGTGTTCAAAGGAAGCCAAGCATTTAACAAACTGTAAGGTGTTCCATAAATATGTGTTTTTGTTAATGCAACACTGAAATTGCAAACTCCCAGAAGAGAGGCATCCTGGGAGAGCGATTTGGCTCTCCCACGTGGCGACTGTGAGCTTCCCTCAGTTCTTATCCCAGGTTTATGGGACTATCTTGCTGAGGAAAACTTTTCAGTGTCTGACTTAAAAAAAAAAATCCTCTATATAACTAGCAAGATGGTGTTTGTAAACGTATCATACAGACACGGCTTAAGATAAACTGCCAATAAGTCACCCAAACGCCAAGACTGTTAAAAAAAAAAGGTATTTCCGTGGACTTAGCCTTCGTTTTGACAAAGATGCACTGTGAGTTCTAGATCAGGATGCCGGCCGCCGAATGGAAACAAAAATTGGTAGAACCGGTCGTCCGGTAAAGTTGTTATTATAGTTCCATTCTGACAGATTTAAACGATTTGCCACAGTTCCCCGGAATAAGCAGGATAGGAGTAGCCAGCTCCGAGCAGAGAGCGGGAATAATGCGCGCGCACTCGACTCCGACCGCTCCCGGGTCCCGTGAGCGCGCCTCCCGGGCCAGCCCCGGCGCGCGCGCTGCCGGTGGTCCACGTGACCCCGGGCGGGGCGACGGCTGGGACGGGCGGGGGCTCGGGCCGGCTCCGCAGCGCCGCGCAGGCGCGTCAGGTCCCCGCTGAGCCGAGCCCCTCCTGCCAGCTCCAGGCGTCAAAATGGCGGCGAGGGGAACCTGGAGAAGCCCCGGAGCCTGAGCCACTGACAGGAGCTGAGAGGGGGGCGGTGGCGGCGACGGCAGGAGGAGGATGGCCCGGGGCGCTGGCGCCGGTGCGGACGGCGGTGCTGGTGGTGGCGGCGGCGGGGGCGACGGCCGCGGTCCCAGCGGCGGCAGCAGCAGCAGCGGCGGGAGGAGCCTCCGGGGTGAGTGTCCCCCTCGATATCACCGAGGCTGTGAGGCGAGGCTGTGCCCGGCGCGGCGCTGGGCGTCCCGGCGGGGAAGGGGCTGTGCGTGAGCGGTGGGGGCGCAGGGCTGGGGCGCAGGGCTGGGGCCGGGCCGCTGCGAGAGGCGCGGGGCCAAGGAGCGGAGGGAGGCTGTGGTCCGTCTGGGGCTAAGGCGCGGCGGCGGCAGACTGACCGGTCCTGGTGCGCTCCCAGGGGCGGGCTGGACTGTGCGCCGCCGTCCCGGGGGATGGAGCTGCGAGGTGTGGCGCTCCCGAGCTGGGATAGCGGCCGGAGGTGGCCGCAGCGGCGGCCCGGCCGGTTCCCGACTCAGGGCTCCGAGGGGCGGGACCCGCCGCTCCCTGGACGCCGCGAAACCGCTCCCGAGGCTCGGGCGCGCGTTTATCCGGGCTGCGACCGCCCCGGGGTGGGCGTGAGAGCAGCCGGCCGGCTTCGGGGGTAGGGGAGAGCAGGCCTGGGGACCGCTGCTCCCGGGTAGAACTTGGATTGTCCGGGTAAGTTACAGTTTCGGGGTCGAACTGGAATCAGTTCTTTCGTAGGTTGGGAGAGAGACGAGACAATACAGAGTGTTTGATAAAGAAGTCTGTGCTTCGAGTACTTGAAAGGCTAAAAGCGTGCATTTTTCAGCATCTCATTTGCACAGATGTTTACTAGCTTGCCCTGAAGATGAGAACTTTCTCACCGTTTGCTGGGGGGGAAGCTCTGAGCAGTGTTTGCTCCTCTTTTGAAATACAATAGCACCTCTTCATATACCAGCACAGATAATAAGTAATCTGGATTAGGCCTAATTTGCAGAAGCAGTCTTGGTTTTTACCAGAAATCTGTTCCCTCTGCTAAAATATCTTAGCGTGATAAAGAAATAGACATTTTTACAGAATTCCTTCGTTTTTTTCCAACTAACAATCTTTTGTCTCTCAATGGCATCCATTTCTTCTGGATTGCTGAAATCTATTACTTTCTTCCTAGAGATGTGGAAGAAAGATTTGAAATTGCAAGAATCATACGCGTTAATGGCAGCTGTGACGAAACTTGTCCTAGAATTTTGAAGTCAGAAAAACCTTGAGCGATCTGGTGTGACTTGTTTTAGAGCCGGGAAACTAGACTCGGAGATGAGCGACTCACTGTGGGTCCTGCAGCTGCCCAGGGATTGGACCAAAACGAGGATCTAGGCCTCTCTTCGCCCCATTTAGAGAGCACTTTTCGCTCACTGCTGAACCCCCTGTTCTTCATTGATTGCATTCTTCACCACCATCCTCACTGGGTCTTTGTGCAATAGACTTGAAAGGAGAAGTCAGAGAGTGCGCCTCACGCTGATTCTTGACAGTTGCTGTCAGTTACCACAAGTAACTGATGAAGATTTTTTCCTGACCTGAATTTAATAAAAACCAACTGACATTTCATTTAGAGTTTTCATAGGCCTGTGATTGTATTTCTGTCCAATTATAGCATTGCTCGTGTTTGCATGCATTCAGTAAAGCCATAGGTTCATATTCTGTCCCGCAAAACCTAACTACTATGTTGTTTGGTTCAGCAATACCAGGTTTTAAAAAGGTTCTTTGTATCAGACTCTCATTTTAGGCTTTAAAATACGTGTGTTATACCACCTGGTTTCCACGTAGTCGCAGCAGTTTCTCTGTTGTGTGTCACAGTTTAACCTTCAGAGATAGTCATGCCACGTGATTCTGATTTCATTCTAGTCATTGAAACTCACACACCAAAGTTGTGCCTTGTGTTCAGTTACACAGGTGATTATTGAAGATCTGTTTTGTGTTTTGCAGTATTAAGTGCTGCAGAAGAAACAAGTGTAATATATAGACTTTGCCCTCAGAAAAGATAAGATGTACCCCTCTGATCCTAGAAAGCAGTCTAGTTAAAGTTCTGTCAGTACAAAGAATGCTGTACGTTTTCTGGTTAGAGGGAGATGAGTGAGGCCTCAGGAGTCTAAATAACTTCCTGGAACACTTGAGCTAGCTTCTGTGAGGGTTTAGATTTACAGAGAGATTGGAGCAGTTACTTTGTGAGGGAAAAGCAAGAGTATAAGATGGAGATTAGTTTTAAGGGAGGGGAAAAGAGGAAAACTTGAATGAGCTGACCACTGAAGTTCCTTGGGAAGACATTAGACTATTGAAAGGGTATCTATTTGTAGAAGGGTTTGAGTGCCAGATTGAGGAGATTTGGATTTTTATCCTCTTGTGCAAGATGTGGGGAGTCTTTGAAACTTTGGAGGCCAGACATTAATTTGATAAAACTGCCAAGATGCACCTGTCAGTGATCCGTTGATTGAGTTAGCATAAGGTTGAGTGGAATGAACCAGGGAAAATAGTAGCTGTTGCAGTACCTGGGTAGGAAGAGATGAGATCCTAACACTAAGAGTTTCTAGAAAAGATGCAGGGCAGGTATAATTTTGTTGTTGTTTTTATCATGATAAAATATACATAACATAAAATTTGCCCATTTTGCCAGTTTTAATCGTACAGTTCTGTGGCATTAAGTGCATCCGCTTTGTATTGCAACTGCTACCACCACCCCTTTCCAGAACTCTATTCATCTTTCCCAACTGAAACTCTGTACCCAGTAAACACTAACTCCCCACTTCCTTTTACACCCAGCCCATGACAACCACTTTTCTGCTTTCCGTCTCTATGAATGTGATTACTGGATGTATTTCCTATAAGTAGACTCATAGAATATTTGTCCTGGCTTATTTCACTTGGCATAATGTTCATCCAAGTTGTAGCATTTGTCAGAATGTCCTTCATATTTAAGGCTGAATAATATTCCATTGTATGTAATCTGTTAGTTGATACTTGTATGCTTCCACTTTTTGGCTCTTGGAATAATGTTACCATGTACCTAGATGTGCAGGTATCTGAGTCCCTGCTTTCATTTCATTTGGGTATATATCCAGAAAATTTTACATTCCCACCAGCATGTGTCAGAGTTCAGTTTCTTCACATCCTCACCAATACTTGTTAATTTCATTATTTTGGTAACATCCTTCCTAATGGGTATGAAGTGATATCTCATTGTGGTTTTCACTTGCATTTCTCTATGATATTAGCATCTCTTGTGCTTATCAGCCTTTTGAATTGGAGAAATAATCTATTTAAGTTCTTTGCCTATTTTTTAAATTAAGTTGTTTTTCTGTTGAGTTGTAGGAGCTCTTTGTATATTCTGGATACCAATCCCTTATCAGATACATGATTTTCAAATATTTTTGCCAGTCCATGCATTAGCTTTTCACTCTGTGGAGTGTATTTTGCTGCACAGAAGGTTTTAATTTTAACCAAGTCCAACTGATCTAGTATTTTCTTTTGTTTTGTTTATACTTTTGGTGTTATATCTGAGAAATCCAAATCTGCCAAATCCAGTGACATGAAGCTTTCCCCTTTTAAAACCCTTCTAAGAGTTTTCCCCTCAAAAACTCTTATAGTTAGGTCTTTACATGTGAATATCCAGTTTTTCCAATACCATTTGCTGAAAAGACTATCTTTTTTCCATTGAATGGTCTTGGCATCTTTGTCAAAAATCACTTGATCATACATTCAGGGATTTATTTTTGAAATCTTCTATTCCATTTGTCTGTAAGTCTGTCTTTATGCTGGTACCACACTTTTGATTACTCTAGCTTTATAGTAAGTTTTGAAATCAGAAGTATGAGGCCACCAACATTATTCTTTTTTGAAATTGTTTTGGCTATTTAGGGTCCCTTGAGATTGTTCCATATAAATTTTAGGATAGATTTAGATACAGATTTTCTATATCTGCAAAAAAATGTCATTGGGATTTTTTTGATAGGGATTGGATTGAATCTACAGATTCTTTGGAATAGTGATGACATCTTTTCCAGTCTTCCAATCTGTAAACAACAGATGTCTTTCATTTATTTGTGCTTAATTTCTTCCCACAACATTTCGTAGTTTTCAATGTAAAAGTCTTTCATCTCTTTGGTTAGGTTTACTCCTAAATATTCTTTTTGGTGATTATAAATGTGATTTCTTTTTTGGATTGTTCATTGTCACACAACACAACTCATTTTTACGTATTGATTTTGTATCCTGTAACCTTTCTGAATTCATTTATCCTAACAGGTTGTGTGTGTGTGTGATCTTAGAGTTTTTTACATATATGATAATGTTATCTTCAAACTGATAATTTTACTTCTTTCCAATTTGAATACCTTTTCTTTCTTTTTCTTGCCTAATTGCTCTGGCTAGGAGTTGCAGTATTACATTGAATAGAAATGATGAAAATGAATATCCTTGTCTTGTTCCTCATCTTAGCGAGAAAGCTTTCAGTCTTTGACCATTAAGTATGATGTTAACTGTGTATTTTTCATGTATAACCTTTATCATGTTGAGCTAGTTTCCTTATATTCCTGTTTTGTTGAGTGTATTCACAGGTATGTTTTAAGAAAAGAAAATTCATTTTCGGATCTGAGTTTCTGTCTGGTGAAAGTTTTGCAGTCATAAGCAATCCATTTTACCTGTCTGAGGCCTAATTTCCTCATCTGTAAGAAGAAAGAAGTACAGGCACACAGTGTTTTACATAGCAACTTTGCCACCTTGTATTTTTTATTCCATTCTTTCCCTACCTATTACCACTTCCTTACTATTCTGGACTGTTTATCGAATGGCCTACCAGCTGAATCGTTGCTGTTTGTTCTCCCACTTCCCCTCTCCTTCTCTGCAGTTCTCTATATTGCTACCACACTTTAAAAAAAAAAACCCAATTGAAGGATGTTACTTTTCTACCTAAAAAACTTGTGTTGTGTTCCCATTGTCTACTGGATAAAGTCCAAACTCACAGAAGTTTCGTAACTTTGTCCAACCTTAGATTTCCCGTCACTCCAGCCATGCTAAACGGTTTCTCTTGTTCCCTGTACTGTTTTTAGTGTGTTTATCCCAGTGTTTGGAGTTCTTTTTCATTGCCATCCAGGAGACTATGAGAAGATGACTCATCACCCATTTCAGCGGTAGATTTTGATTACACCAAGCCAATCAGCTCAAGGCAGTCCCCTGTAAATTATTATTTGTCCAAGTTAAACTGGACAAGGAAGGAGAGATTCTATTTTGGGGGAAGAAGATTTTTTTTTCCCCTGTTGTATGTGAACAAGGGAACAGTGCTAATAGCAACTGGCAGCTGTTTTGTGACCACAGGGAATGATGAAACACACCCTGAAGACAGCAGAACAGAGAGGTAGAATGAATGTAGGTCCATGATAATGTCATTTTAGACTCCTATTGTGCTGGGCCTGGGGCTTTCTCTATGGTGGGATTTCTGTTCATGAATAAATCCCTATTGTGTAAGCCAATTTGGGGTTATTTGCAATAAAAAGTCTCCTGATTCTTAAAGCCATCTTTATTCTTCAAGACCCAGTTCAAAAGTTACTTTTACCAGTAATCATATACTCACTCCCTTAGAACTTTGGACCTTTCTTCCAGTTCTTATTGTACTGTATTATCACCAGTTGCTTGTACGTTTGACTCCTCCACATAACTCTTCTGTACTTGGAGCAAAAACCTACAGGATGTGGCATAGTGTCTGGTAAATTGTAGAGAGTGAGTTGTTGGGATGAAATAATAGCATGAGAAAATGCTTTGTAAACAATCTTTTAGTAAATTTGAGGTAATTATTGTATTTAAAAGTAAAATGAGATGGAAAAATCAATTAGGCCAGGCATGCAAGGTGTTCTTTGCTTGCTCTTGTTTTCTAAAAATATTGACAAAGATTAAAAGTTTGACAATCTCCTCTGGCTACAATTCCTTAAATTTTATGAAAATCTTACCTACTAAAGCAGAAATCATGGAATGAGCAATAATGAATTGTGTTATTAGTGTGTGATTTCCTTTCTTCTTTAGGGGGAGACTGAATGCCAAAACAACTTCAAGTATAGTGTATTCTTTTCCCCTGTATTCTGAAATTGTGCTGTGTGCTAAGTCTCTCCAGTCATGTCTGACTCTTTGCAATCCCATGGATTGTGGCCTGCCAGCCTCCACTGTCCATGGGATTCTCCAGGCAAGAATACTAGAGTGGGTTGCCATACCCTTTTCCAGGGGATCTTCCCAATCCAGGGATCGAACCCAAGTCTCCTGCATCGCAAGCGGATTCTTTACCTCTGAGCCACCAGGGAAGCCCATTCTGAAATTATATTTATTTAATTTCTGTTTTATCTGGAGTTTACTTTAGAGAAAAATTCTATAATATTCTTCTTAAGTCTTAATTATTCTTGTTGTCAGACTTTTCCCAGAATATTTCTTGCTTGCTTGAGACGAGACATGAGAATTTTCTGGTTAGCAAAAAAGCTTTGTGGCAGAACTAGGTGAGTTTGTAGTGATTGTTAGTAATAGCTTATGACAGAGAAATCTTATTTTATCCTTAATTACAGAGTCATAGTTCT